AGGTATCCTAACCCAATCATTAGTAACAGTTGCCATAATACGAATATTACATAGGTGATTATCCAAATTTTCACCATTGATGGGATTTGAACACCCAACCTACCACTTGGGAGGTTGACAACCTGTCCACTTCACTAGGTCACCACACCCCATATTTTATGCATTTGCATTTTAATTCAAATGTATTAAATTGATGTATCATGCTTAATAAAATAACTAATAGTTACTTTTTGGCAACAACTTTTAGGACATGTAAAGATTCTGAAGCATGTTGGTTCCAACAAGTTCCAATAAGTCATAACAGTTATAATCAATAAGCATAATTTTATTTTTATATATAAATTCGCAACTATAAAGGTCACCTGACAAGCATTTTTATTATTTTTCATGTTATGAGAAAAAGCTCTCGAATAATGATAAAATATTGAAGTTACAAGTATATTAGAGCTTAAGTATTTTTATTCTGATATATATCTTACATATATCAAAATTATATTTACCAGAGCTATGAATTAATTCTACCAAAATTATGTTTACCAGAGTTACGAATTAACGACTTAATTATATAAATGCTTAATTTATTTTAATTTAGTTGAAAAGCGTCAACTTATAGATATTTTATAAGGTTTAGATGAGGTTCGTGGTCGGGATACAGTAGCAAAAAAAAGAACTTACTTCAAAATAAAATAGAAAAAACTAGTTTGGTTTGATTTTAACAATGAATAACTTAAATAAATAGATTTATGAGTTATAACTTGAAAATTAAAACTTGAGTTTATTATAAACCAGACAAAAGATAAAATGAGATATACTTGAGATTTCGAACACTTTTATTAATTTCAACTAAAAATGGTATTTATTTTTAAACAAATACTTAATCATAGATTACATATTTAATATAAATAGAAAATACATATTTAAAAAATTATATAGAAGCGGTATATTCAGCAAGATAATTTACCACACTGTGCGCAAGAAACACGATAACCATATTCACAAACACTAGTACCACCAGGACTGCATTCATATACGTTAGTTTTGACACAAGATGACCCCATTCCTAAGAAAAGAAAATTAAAAAAGGTTAAGATGCCAAAAATTGAATCAGTCGTACAAATAAGGATAGAATTTAATTATTTACCAGGTTGGCCACCACAATATTGACCTTGCGTAGCGGATGAAGGGCATGTACAATTAGTATTATAATTACAAGAAGGTGTTGTTGATTTTGGTGGTGGCGGTGGTGGTGGTGGTGTCGTAGGTTTTGGTGGTGGTGGTGTCGCTGGTTTTGGTTGTGGTGGTGTCGTTGGTTTTGATTGAGGTGGCTCTGGAAAGTTTACCAGACAAAGAATTGTACTAGTACAACCGCCAGCACAACATGCAGTTTCACAACCGAGAACGCAACCACCATGGGCAGGGCCAGGCAGACATTGGTTATCACAATCAGCATAGCATTCTTCACAAGTAATAGAGAAGACGAAAGAATAGAAAATTGAATGGATTATTAAGAACAAAATTAACACAGAAATTCGATAACCCATCGTAATCCAGAATGAAAATATAAATAAAAATAAAAAATAAAAATCTTGGACTCCTTATTTTGAAAAAATCTCACTTGTATGTTATTTTTATAGACATCACAAAAAAAATATAATAATATAAAAATCTTAATAAATAAAACTTTTTACGAATATTTATTTAATATAACCTTTTTTAATCCAGAAACACTATATCGATATTCATTTATGTATAGATAAACGTATTTATCGATTTAAACATTTATAAAAGTTCCATCTAGGTGAAAATGAGAAGTTATATAAGGCATATATGTGCTGAAATCCCCTTATGTTTATAGTGCGATATTGTTGATTATAAATTCGGAATATAAGTCCGGAAAGAGGTACAAGGTAAGCCTCACTAATAGCTAGCGCAAGGTCTTGGCAGAAATCTATAGATACCAAGATATGATTTAAAAGGTAGGTACCAGGAACAAATGCCTCTGTACGCAAAATCTTGGAATTGATTGGTCCGCATGACTTATTAATCATTCAATATTTATTTTTCATATATCTGCAGGTACAAAGTCAAAGATGCGATAACAAGCAATAGTAAAGATAGAATTTTTAGGCAAAAAAATTAGTGACCCGATATACTGTAAATTTAAAGGTCTCAATGCTAAATTATTTTTTTTCATCGGGCTGATAAAATGATAATCACTGATCGTGGGCGCTAAGATTTTAATGTAATTATCACATTAACTTCAATATTCAGATTGCAAGTACTATTGACTTCTTTTATAAAGAGTCATTTTATTATACCAGAAAAGGATTGCAATGAAGAAATTGTTTACCAGTGACTGAAATGGTGTCTGCATGGATTTTTCCCCGTTCCTGGTTTTGCGCAACTGTGTTGCGCAGTTACTTATGACTATGATAAAAGATAAAATTGGTCTCAAATTGCATGTAATTATAATTAATGAGAGCAAAAATTGCGTGAAGGCTGTTTTGGTTGACTTGTATTAGAAATTTGATCTAACCCCTTGCAGCTATCATCAATGAATGACCATTTTGAAGACATGTTCATATCACCACATACGGTACCACGAAATTTTATGGAAGAATTAATATAGCTGTATTTAGAGAGTTGACCGGAAGATCCGATTATTAATTTAATAATAACCGGTTCAAATTTCTAGTTGCTAGTAAATAGATTATCTAAGCCATGGATTATTATTAACTTATCTAAGTAATGTTCTAAGCATTATAATATAAAATTTAACAATTTTAGTCAAATTAAAATTTTCAGTTGTATTTATTGCGTCTAGTATTGAAAATTTTTATAAACATTCCAATTGAGAATGCTTTACATCAATCACGAGATCAGTATCTCGATCACTTATGTAATTCGAAGGTAATTGAGTAATGTGTATGTAAGTAGTTAGAGAAATGGAATGACGTTATGTCATTTGGATAAGTATGAGATCATGAGTAAAAGGTATATAAAGGGGTTATTAAAAGAGTTTGTATACGCCTTTTTTCTTTGCTGCAAGCTTAACGCAAGTCTAGCTCTTCGTTAGAATATCACGTGATCAAGGAAATAAATAGAGAAATTTGAATGATCGAAGGAAATGGAAAATGATTCTGGGATTCAAGAGACAAGTTCAAGTTTGATGACTGAGGTACTGTTGTGAGAGATGAAGTTGAGAAAGATCAGAAATAAAATTTAAGGAATAGTTTTAATAGATTAATAATAGATATGTTGAAAGTAAAAATAAGAGGTTGTCTGAAAAAAGAACAAAAAAGATTTGATCAAGAAGTTAGCAGATAGAGTGCTTAGTAAGGCAAAAGTGGTATTACAAATCAAATTAGATTAAAAATTAAGTATATTAAATTTTTTTTTTTTAAAAAAAAAGAGAGGTCTATCTTCTATCTCTTTTATTAATTAGTTAATTTACATATATAAGATACATGCTGAATAAACTAAGTTAGGAAAGATGAAAGTAAGAGTTACTTTATTTTCAACCTATTCTTTGTTAGAATGGTTGGTAGATCTCTAGTTTATAATAAGATAATTAAGAAAAGATTGATCATAAATAATGTAATGATTTATTTTTTTATTTAGTAAAAAAGATAAAATTGGTTTAGTTTTAGTTAGTACTAGAAGTTATAATGATGATAGGGTTAGATGAAATGAATCATGTTATATTACTCTGAATAGAAGTCAAAGCTCTTTGTATATTACTAAAATAATATTGTAATGAATAAGAAAAGCATATTTGAGTTTGTATTTGTTATTTTCAAATAGTGTCAAAGTGTCATTAGTTATTATACCTAATAGTATTTGCTTATTGATATGATTTGAAAAAGTTATTTGAGGTTTGGTGCACTGTATATCTTATAAAAATTATAAAGTGCAAATGATTTTGAAGACAATTTAGAAAATATATAATATTTTCAGAAACATTATAGCATTTTGAACAAAGGTAGTTTGAATCTTTAATAGTATTTTTTTAGTAAAAAAGAAGGTAAGTAGATAGTTTTTCAGATAGTAGTTTGATTTTAAAGTTTTTTAGTACAAATAAAAATAGATTAATTATTAATACTGAAGATTTTTCTCTATATATATTGTAAAGTTAAAGATTAATTGATATTGTTTTATAAAGTATATTAATAAGAAATTTATTGTTAATGAAATTAAACCATTTTGTTTATAATTAGTTATATCTGTTTTATTATAATTTTTATTAAGTATATATATAAATTGCCAAGAAGTTTTAAGATAAATTAGTTATGTAAAAATTTTTGTGATATAGAGTCCAATAGGAAGAAGTTATTTTAGTTTTCTTGGAGTTTAAGTTCTTTGTTAAGAATAGTTATAAGCATATAGGTGTATGTTACTGCTTTTAGTATTAGAAAAAAATATATATGTTGTTGCCTATTTAGTATAGAATAATTTTGTAATTGAATAGACTATATGAAATTAATTAGATTAATAAGTGAAAAGTTGTTGATATATATTTTTATATTTATACAAGAGTTCATAGAAGTAAGCATGAAATTTAACAATATTATTAAAATTTTAAATGAGAAGACCAAAGGTTGATAAAGCAGTCAAAAAAAATATAAAAGTGTTAAAGATAATATTTTGCTATTATATAAAATTTGTTTTCTATATTTTGTCAAATACTTGTTATATGAAGTGTTATATTATGTAGAAGGCCAGAATAATGATAGTTAGACCCAATGTACAGAGCAGACTATAGTACCTTGCACAGCTGTGAGAGCTGAGCATATAGTGATTGATCCTGTAAAAGACAATTTTGAAAGACATTTACAAAATCTTAAATTTCCTATAATCTTTATACATGTTTTAACCAATTTCTTTATTACTACAACTTATCACTTCTTTTTCATGATTAAACTATTCAAACTTTAATTTAACATATTGACAAATATAATAACAACAAAACTGTATCTAGTATTATATTTTTTGTTAATTCATCTTATAATAAAATCTATATATATCTTCCTAATGACACTCTTTTATCAGATTATATTATTATTGTTTTACATCTTCTTTCTTTATTTTACAATCTATCTCTTAGATCTAATTTCTTTAATTCTATCTTTATTATACCTGACCTATTACTTGATAATTATTTTCTAACTCTTTCTAATTATAGTTTTCTTTTAGTTTTATCTAATTCAATTTCACATTATCTTTATCTTAATATTATTATATATAATGTTAAAGGCTTCAATGAACCTACCAAAAGAGAAGCCTAACAAAACTATTGTCTTAACTATAATATATCTATTGTAAGCATTACAGAAACTAAAATTTCTGACAAAACTAACCTTTTCTTTTGCAATAATAATTTCTTCATCTACTATTAATCTAATTCTCCTACTTCTATTGAAAACACTGCTATTATGATTCATAATCATTTTAAATCTCATATTCACAGTATACATATCCATCTTGAAGGTGCTATCGCACTTGATATTTTCTTTTAAAGTAACATCAGGTTTCATATCATCTTAGTATACCTGTTATCAACTGACATGTCTACTCATAATCAAACCCAAAACATTGTTATTAACTGAATTCAACAAGTCTCTTAACTTCATATTTATTCTATTATTCTTGGTGATTTTAATACACAAGATAATACTTATAGTTCTTCTTTTAAATACAAACTTATCAACTTTCTTAATAACACCAATATGTATAATTTTGGAGCTTATTTTAACAACAAACACTTTATCTAATTTAATAATACTAGTAGTAGTCATATTGACTACATTTGAATTGACTAATTTAATATATAATTTTTCTTTTTTACAGTCTTGATAACAGCCAAACCTCAACTTCTAGTGATTATCTAATCCTTTCTTCTACATGGACATTCCCACATGCCTATAGCAAACTCTTATATAAACATACTGGTATTAGTTACTGTATCTTTAACTACAAGGCTATTTCTATAGAAAACTAAAAATCCTTTACAGATACCTTATTTTAACAACTCTTATTACACAAAACTCCTATTAATAATAAAACTAATAAAAGTATTGAAACAACTTGACACAAAATTTAAAGCTTTATTATTTATTTTACTACTTATACTATTCCTAATAAAGTTTTTCATAAATATAGTTATA